TATCAATTTTCGTTGACTACAGTTTGAGCGACTGTCATTTCAGCGAAACACTTCATCGTCCCGTAACGGTGTACTTTTTCTTACTTTTGCGAGCGTCGGTACGTACAACGAATGTTTCCGGAACTTTCATGGCAATCCGGAACTGGATGGCGGATGTCACGTTCAAAGTTCAGACATTAAGCTCCAAATTTAATGTCACATTTCTCAAGAATTCCAGTGGTTCGATTTCACCCCCCCCCCTCCCCCTGCTGTTTTCCAGTAATGGTGACCAAACGTTTGTTCAGAGATTCATATTGTTTGTGCTATTTTTCGCGAAATTCCCCCGCTTGAATTTAGATCAGTTCCCAATGTTGTAAAATTTGTTCTTGCCCCCAAGCAACGTACGAATTTCCAGATATTTGGGTGAGGTCCCTGAAACATAGACTGGATCCCCCTGTGCCATCCCTCGAGTTTATTATTGGTCCTTGGCATTCCTTACGTTGTCTTGTCTCTCACGTTCCACATTTCCAGATCAAAGTTGCTGAATGAGGCCAGATATTTTTGTGGTTTCCAAGCTTAAAAGCAAATTTTTAATTTGCCGCGCGCAGCTTGAAGCATGACAAATACCATTTACCAAGCGGGTATTCCAAGGGCAAGAATTCCCGAAAAGGCGAAAAGTAGCAAATGATTGACTTCCGTCGCGTTCGGTTTCGCTGTAACTGTATTCGCTCAATTAGTCCCCCATTGACCTCCATATACGTATTCGCTCAAACTTGTTTCGCTGATTCTGGTCCTCGCTTAATAGTAATTCGTATTCGTTTCGGGCTACACTAAGATAAAAAATTGTGTGGCCCGAAACAAATACGAATTACTATAGCATCATTTACCTGAGGAAGATTAGAAATGACACTTCGTCAGTCCTCGCTTAACCTTCGCCCCAGTGGGGGAGGGGGGCATATGTTACCAGTGTTACCACCCTGTCGCGTTTTTTTGCGTGTGAATAAAAAACCGCGGCGCGTAGCTCCGCGCCGCTTGGGGTAGCTTTTGGTATATCAATTTTGGACAACGTGTGAAATTTTTAACCCCAGGTCATGTCAGGTCAGGTCACCAGGCCAAGTTAACTGACCAAGCCTAAAAAAGTTTGCAGTCATGTCCAGCCTGCAGTGTTTGTCAGAAAGGTTTTAAATTTGGTGGATGGCATGCTGTTATGGGCGCCTACAATTTGTATATCTCGGATTTTTTATATCCGTGACCTAAGGTCAGGTCAGTGGCGTGACCTTTCCATTACAAGTCAATGGAGAAAAATGAAAATGCCTCTAGATCCGTGTGTACGCATAGGAACAGTCCAAATATTTCAGAATCACAATGATTTAGTCCACTCGATGACCAAGGTGTCATTTTTGCTGATAGCCTCTAGAAAGGTCATCCGAGGTCATTTGAGGCTACAAACAGTTTTTTGCCAATAACTCGCGATTGGAAAGAGATAGAACGCTGGGGATTGTCTCATTGTGTTTGTCTTGTTGAGACGCATCGACTGATATGCAACGTGACCTTTTCCGGTCAGGTCATGACCTTGACCTGAGGTCAAATTTTCAAGTTGACCTTTCAAGGTCAAATTATAGTTCATTCGACGCGTCTCGGTGAGGGGAACACGATTCTGGCAATAGAAATGTCGTGGCGTTTTGTAGTCGAAAGTTATTGTCGAAAAACACTTTTCGTAAAAACAGCTATTTTTGGAGTTTTTGCCCTCTGGAGGCTATACCGTTGACCTGAGGTCAATATTGATTATGACCTTTTCAAAAGAAGAGTTCAAAAGCTATCGATTGTTCTTCCATGCGTTTTTCTAGCTACCATAGTTCCTGAGATAGCGGCATGTTTTCTGAAAAATGTAATGACAATTTTGGCAAATTTTGACCTTTGATGACCTCTGGTGACCCCAATATTGATCTAAGGTGAAAAATGACCGAAATGCTTTCAAACGTACGCATTGAGAGCTATCGACTGTTTTTTACTGCGTCTTTCTAGCCCGCTTAGTTTTGAGTTAGAGGTGGGTGGTATGATATGCCCCCCCCCCCCCCCACTAGGGCGAAGTTGGCTGAGACCGCCACTGGGGCGCGGGTTAATTAAGTTGATAATCGCTGTGATTGAATTCGCCGACTTGACAATCGCTGAAAAAGTCAATCGCTTAAATTGATAATCGCTGAAAAGGCTTCGCTCAAATGTCTTTCGCTGAAATGACGCTCGCTCAGGTGTCGCAGACCCCCCCCCCACACACACACACCTACCCCAACATCACATCACAGGACCGTCATATAGATATCACATGCCCCGCCCCGCCCTAACAACTGATGAACCACCATGGGCGTATATACGGCCCTGGCCCTTGGTCGATTATCACGAGGGTCAAAACCCCAAACCGCCGGCTTTTTACGGCCCTACACCGGTCTTGGAGGCCCTAGGGCTAGACCCCCCCCCCCCCACTGCCAATTGGCGTCTGAGGGCCATAGACTGGTTTGTAAGGGCCTCTGGCCTCTGATGACCCACGTCGACGTCTGAGGGTCAGGGTTCCACACTGGCCTTCCATGGGCCCTGCCCTGCACTGGCTTCATATTGCCCAAATCGGCCATCTGGCTCTGAGGCCCTAAACCAGCTTCCAAGGGCCTCACAACGGCCTTTAATGGCCTCATTTCGGTCTCTAATGGCCTCATTTCGGCCTCATTTCGGTCATACCGGTCTTTGAGAGCAGCGCAAGGGCCTAAGGGCAGAGGGCCATATCTGGCCCTTTGGCCTCTGACTGTGGTCTGTGCGATGCAAACCGCGGTGTTGGTATTTAAAGAAGTGTGAATAATCTATGTTCCGGAAAAAAGTGCTACAATTATTTCTATTTTTTTAATAAAACAAATCAAAATTATTTGAAGTCATCGTTATATCTTAACCCGCGCCCCACTGGGGTCTGCGTATAACACGCCCTACTGGGGGGGGGGGGCTATTCATAGCCCCCCCTCCTAACTCCGAAACTACTGGGCCGATCGTCAAAATTCAAACGACGTCTGATAGCCCCGGAAAAACTGTCGAGCGAAACCTAATTTATTGACCTCGAGGTTACTGATGACGTCACAGGTCAGGTCAAAGTAAAAATCATTAGCATTTTGGCTTCTTCACGTTTTGGGCTCTGGCCGCCGTCTTACAAGTCAGATCAGGCTCATTTTTGGTTCACACACTCGTGAACAGATGCTCTAGATACTCTGAGGGTACCAAACTTGTACTTTGATTTTCAGGTTAAGGTCAGGTCATCACAGGTCACGAAAATATTATATCATCCGTCGGTCACGTGACACATGTTTTATGGTCCATTTAGGCCAAACATTTCGAATTTGGTGTCGTCTGTGTCATGCAAGGTCATTTTGAGTCAAATTTAGCTTAGGTCAGGTCACTTTCAGGTCAAAAAAGGTCAAATTTTGAAGTTAAAATTTTTCAACAAAAAAGGTGTCTATTCGATGCAGTTTGAGCTCAGGAACACGATAGTGCTATTTATATTGGCGTGCGATGTCAAATTTGTGCTGAAAAATTGATTTGAAAAATTAATAATTGTTAATTTTTTGAAATAATGCGTATAACTTGGCCATTTTTGAAGATATTTAGTTAAAACTTGCTAGAGGTAGTCATAATAATGCGTTCTATCACATATATTCCGGTTTTTTCGAAAAGTCAAAAACTTTTTGAAAAAAAATGTAAAAATATAAATTTTGAATTTTATTATTTAAAATTTTCTAAATTTTCAAAATTTCGAAAATCCGAGATAGCCGTTTGATAGCGCAGTCTATTCTGAGTCCTCTCATGCAAAGAAATTGGATCTAGCTTAAAAACTGAGCTCTTGGGAGCGATAGCCGTGGTTCAATGTTTTGCGTCGAAATCGGCCGAACATGACGTCACTCTGACGTCATTTCCGGCCGACCTATGGTAGGTACGTAGTTCAAATTTTGACACAAGGTGTCAAATTGATGCAGCCGAAGGTACTGAAAGTTTGGCGTCGATACGTCAAGCAGTTTGGAAGTTATTGCAGAAAAACGGGAGGGGGGCTATAAATAGCCCCCCCCCCCAGTGGGGCGCGGGTTAACACGCTAGTAGGGGAGAGAGGTCATATTGCGCCACCGGATATCGGCCTACTGCGGCTAAAGTTGACCAACTGTCATGTTTGATGATATCTCAAATTGTACCTCAGTTATTTTGGCATCAAATAACAACTCCCAATTTGTATCACACCCAGAAAAGCTTTCCGGCACATCTGCAAAGGGCGCATTTACGGACTCCCCCATCAAAAAGCGCCCATGCCTCTCATGTTAAAGCGCCCTATTAAAAACAACGGTTTGCCACCTAACTAAGTAGCCTATTTGAACGTGTCAGCCCATTAGCCACTTATGCTGTGAAGGCTAAGGTAATGGTAAGGTGAGCGCTCTAATAATCAAAGTGTTCAATGAAATGTGTCCCAACCACCAGATGCTGTTTCTCTGGGTTGAAGAATAGGGCGCAAATAGGGTGGGCGCAAGCAATTACGAATGGAACACATTTTTCATGAGCTTCAAATATGGCGACGCCACAGCGAAGCCACGGTGGTGATAAACTTTCAAAACTACCATTAAACGAACAATTAACAATGATTATTAGTTGAATCACTATCTCTAAGATAAACCATGACACTAGCAAAGGTTGAAATAGACTGTTTCGCGTAAGAAAATAGAGGAAATCACAAAAAATGGTCTGCGAGAAAGCTGAGACACCTCACCTGCCCCCGTGGACCGGAATAAGAGCGAGTTATTGGTGGTGAAATAAATGCACATTGCACACATTCGAGTATTCGTTCGAATCGAATTTTGGGCAGGAGGAAGGTGTGGCGCAATATGACCTCTCTCCCCTACTAGTTGTGAAAGCCGGACGATCAGCAAATTTTCCTTCAGGTCTTTCATTTAGTGGCTGCTTTCGATAATGGAAATGGCATATATGGCGCATGTGTTGCAATTTGCGGAAGATAATTTGTTGTCGATTGATAGGAGAATGTAGGGACAGCTCGCTCCTTACTCTTTTTATTCCCTAGTGTTTTGTGCGGAGTTTTTTTTCAGATCTGACGATTAATACATCCTTGTAATTGAGCCGAAATTTTATGGCATTTAGAATTTGAGCAAAACCGTAATCTGGATACAACTTTGAAAAACGGTATGCATGGTAATGCAGGACTATTGCAATTGCAGTTGCTGAGGGCCCTGAGGCCAGCCCAAGCTGAAGCTTTACTGTTCTCAGGCCAGTTTTACCTACTAACACATGTTGGTGTCATATAACCCTCAGAGGTCGGGCACGCCACCAAACCTAATCATCATCATCATCATCACCAACAGAAAAATAGCATTCTGCCAGAATTTTTTGCCTAAAGACCACTTCACATAGGGAACATAAAGAATAAAGCTCTATCGGCATTAATGTACCCATCGTGTTTATAATCCGTACGTGATGCGGTCTTCAGGTAAAATCAAATCAGGCAGGGGGCTATTTTTCTGTTCATAAAACTGGCCTCTGTTTTCATTTTCCGCCTTTCAACCTTATCAGGTGTATCGACTGGTTGTCAAGCTCATCTATCAGTTATGCTAAGCTAAATGCATTGACTGAAACAGCTTGGTGACAAAATTGTGGATCATGATAAATGAGGTAATGGTGGTGCTAAGGAAAAGTGTGCCTAGGTTCCTGCCTACCCCAGCCCATACACACTGTGCCTATTTTGACAGAGCTATTGAGTGGACATATGTATCAATTAAGAAGTATAAAGCTACTGATTGATACAGTATGTGATACACTAATTGCACTAATTGATACACTATCTGGAAAATGTTACTCTGCTTTAAAATCACTACTTACAAAAAGTATTTGTAACTGTTGAAATGTGAACAAAAACATTTAAATAGTACTATAAGTTGTATTGAGAAAACACTTGCTGATGCATGGAATTATTTTATGCATCAACCTCCAAAACTTTGTTGCTGTTTTGGTTTCACATAGGATGTAACTATGTTATTTAAGGAAAAGTTTACTTTGATTTTCATAGCAATGAATAAAGGAGGAAAATCTGAGGAATTAGCTAGGAAGCAAAATCTGAGGATTTTTTTTAATGGAAAACAGCCTTAGGGAGAATGCTGGGTCCCCTGCCATCCAGTTTTCTGTTTACTGGGGCTTTAAGGACATGGTAACCACAGTTACCACAATGTTATCCTGTACCCAATACCACTTTTCTGGATCCACCATTGACCTTTGTTGATACCACAGGGCACAGTGGTTGACTTGGGGCATGGATGCAAAACCAAACTAGGCTGGCTTGAAGTAATATTGCACGAAAACCATTAACCTGCTGGTTTTGTACATTATTTATGAATGATAACCTAATCAGTGTTTGGATCTTCCGTACAACTGTGCATCTTTAATCAGAATTACACTTGCAACTATGTATAATGCATAGTTTGATTGTGGTCTTGCACACCAACCTCTTGTGTCTTATGTTTGAAGCATGAAAATTACTAATGCTTGTTGGTTGCCTTCATTAGCGTCGCCACGGGGGGCAAGCGGGGCAGCTTGCCCCCCAACCTCGGACCGGGCACCCCCTGAGATCGATACAGATCCGATGAGATTTTGGAGTCGGGAAAAAATGGGGGGGGGTACCTTTCTGAGAATGTCTGTGAGGTCAGACTCGGTTGGAGCGTGCAGTTTATACCAGAGTCTGACTCGCAGTCGCCAAAATCTTCAAGACTCCGAGTCCAGACTCGGAAATGTCAATGCTGTGATTCATTCCATGTCCCTAGTTCGTTCTTTATTACATTTTACAGCTGATTTTTCATAAGTTTTGGAGTGCTGACACAATTTTCGTTCAAAGCGTGAACCGAAATCTTCGGGGCCTTTCTCAACTCTCGTCAAATGTCTGCGACAGGCTCAATTACCGTACGAGTGTCGCAGGGCTCATGAGCTTGCTTTAAACAAAGGCTCCTAAGGAGCTCCACTGAGCCCTAAAGAAGCTTTCAGACTAGGGCCCAAACGGGCCTCTGAAAGTCCCACTGGTGTCCATGTTCTCTGAGGGCCCATACAGAGATCTTTGAGCCTTCGAACATTTCTGAGCACCTTAACTGGCCTCTGATAGTTCAGCCAAACTTTTGAGGCGACATACTTTGCTAACCCCAAGCCGGCATCTGAGGGGTCACAGCTCACGTGTCCCTATGAGGTCCGCAACACATGTTTATTATGTCCCTACGTAAGGTCCTTAGGGATTCGACACAGACCCCGAGGGTTCACACTGTTATCCGAGGGCTCCAGGCTCACCCTGGGCCAAGTCTCTCAGCGCCCGCCGCCCACACTGGCTTCTGAGGGCCCCACCTTGGGCTCGGAAAGCCCTAAAGCACCACGTACACGTAAATATTTGGGGTGACCCACGCCGATCTCTGGGATCCTAAGCAGACTTCAGAGAGTCCACACTGACCCTGAGTGGCCTGAAATGGCCTGGAAGTCCCAAACCTATCTCTAAGGGATCCCTTGCCGCTATGCTGTGCGTAACTTTTGGTTCCGTTTAACAGTTTTTGTTCGCGTTTGCAGCGCTTCCCTTCACACGAAAAACGAGAAACTTTTGTTCACACTCGAGTGAACAAAACACTTCCTCTCACTGGAGCAAAGATAAATTACTTCCGATTCACACTTCCGACATTTACTCTCCGCCGAATGCCCAACTTAGCTACGATCGGTGGCTGGGATAAGTCCTATGCATTTCACGTAAAACCTCTGCATGCATGCGTGAATGGAGGTTTTAGAAGGGTGATCCGATTAAATGGAGCGTTTTTCACCTTTTTCTGGGTAATGATCATGAGCGTCGAGCGTCTACACAGGGGCCCTCTGCAGTGCGTCGGCAATCGCAGCAACTATATATCATAATTCTACCAGTCGTTTTTGTCATGAAATTTCAAAATTTCGAATTTTTCTGTAAAAAATAACATGTCATAGCTAGAAGAAAACCTTTGTCACCATCGGATTCCTCGCACCATTGCGCGTCGAATGATGTGTAAAACGAGTGAGTAAAGACTGGGGAAAGGCAAGTTTTAACACAAAAGTTGATTTTGCCCCCCCCCCCCAACCGAAAATCTCTGGCGACGCCTATGGTTGCCTTACATATGTTATGTATGTGGAATTGTTTGGATGTATTGGTGGTCAATTTTGGGGGTTTTATTGCTGTTTTGCCTAATTTTGATGCTATTGAAGAAGCATGATTAGCAACTTTTACAATTTACACTAATGGAAGTGCTTTCACCCAGGTACCTGAAGGACTAGGAGAGCCAAATAATTTCTATTTAGAGGTATAAGGTGTTCAAGAAAAAGGGAATAGGATACTCATCTAAATGAAAGCACTAACCTCTCCTAAATATATATTCCCACAATGTCATGTATCCTTTTCCTACACACATGTGTGAATAGAAATTTGTGATAAGCTAGGTGGTGCTAGGCTAACCTTATAACTCATAAGTAATGCCCTTATGAGCGTTTTGTCACTAGTTGTGTGTGCCGCAGTGTCGCCATGATCGGCAGTCCGGCCGTGGTCAGCGCGCGACTGTCGCCGAGCCCGTCGCCGTGTCCGTCGCCCGTGCTGCGGCGGCGACAGTCCGCCGCCAGCCGAAACGTCACCGCGGACCCGGGGTCGCACTGCGGCTCCACCGGCCAGGGCCGCTTCGAGCACTTCCCGGCCGACGACCCCGCGCAGCAGGCTGCCGGCGAGCGGGTGCGTCGAAAGCTGCAGTTCTTCTTCATGAACCCGATCGAGAAATACCGCGCTCGGAAGAAGCTGCCATTCAAGCTGAGCCTTCAGATATTCAAAGTGGTGCTGATCACTATCCAGCTAAGCTTGTTTGCCACAAGCCGGCTTGCCCATGTCAGCTTTCTGGAGAACACCCAGTTCTCGCTGGATCACCTCTTCATCCTGGGCTGGGATGTGACGCGTGAGGTGAACGTCTACCCTCCCGGCGCCGGACCGCTGGCCGTCTACTCGCAACAGAGCTACTTCGAGACGCTCGACTTCGCTGTGAATGCCTACCACGACCTGGACAACCTGACGGTGAGCGGGATCGGCTACACGGACGACACAGTGCCGCCGGTACGCCTCTGTCTGGATGGGTATCGTCGCGCTCGTGTCTTCCCAACCAATCTGTCGTACGCTTTTGACGCGCATGTGCGCCAGCGTTGTGTGGATCTGAGGCCAACCCCTGTAGAAATACAAAACCACAATTTCTCCACGCGTGCTTTCCTTGGTAAGCACGACTTCAATGTGTCCTTTGTCGCCCTGACGCGCACCACGCTGTCGTTCGCGCTGAACGCCGTGCGCCTGAAGGAGATGATTCCGGCCAACGAGCCGGACTGCTACCGGCTCCAGGCGGCGTTGGTGCTCGAGAACGGCGGTCAGGACGGCCGGATGCTGGTCAGGATGAATGTAGAGTCGCACCTGAAGCCGTGCAACGGCAACCTGGAAACCAGCGGCGACGGCGCCCCGCTGAAGGTGTTCTTCACGATCATCAGCTCTCTGGTCATTATGGTCTGCATTTCTTCTTTCGCTATGTGTATGCGTTCCATGTATCGAGCACAGCTGCTACGAATCGAGACCGTGTCTCTGTTGCACGAACATTTTGAATACGACCTGACGTACGAGGAACAGTTGCGCTTCCTCAATCTTTGGTACGTCCTCATCATCATCAACGACGGACTGATTGTTTTCGCGTCTCTCATCCATATCCAGCTGGATATAGACTTGATCCCGTCTCCTATTGGTGTCGAGACCTGGAACTTGTGTGCCGTGGTGCTGGGGGCCGGCAACCTCCTCGTCTGGGTGGGCATGCTGCGCTACTTCAGCTTCTTCAAATCCTACAACGTCCTGATCCTGACAGTGAAGAGCGCCATGCCGAGCGTGCTGCGCTTCTCTGTATGCGCTACCATTTCCTATGCCGGATTTGTCTTCTGTGGCTGGCTCGTTCTGGCGCCATATCATCTCAAGTTCCGCACCATTAGCAAGACTTCCGAGACGCTATTCTCGCTGATGAATGGGGATGACATGTTCGCGACTTTCGCTCAGGTTTGGCCTCGGTCCAGCATGATTTACTGGTTCTCTAAGCTTTACATCTACGTATTCATTTTCTTCTTCATCTACGTCGTCATCAGTCTTATGATTTCGATCATCATGGACTCGTACGAGACCATCAAGGCCTTCTACCGCGACGGGTTCCCGATGTCGCCGCTGGACGAGTTTCTGGCGGTGCGCCGCTCGGCTCCCGAGACGGGCGTGTACCGCGAGGACGAGGACGACTGCTCGCTGCGCCAGCTGTGCTGCTGCGTCCGCCGGCGCGGCGACGCCGACCGACAGCCCATCATCGCTGCGGTGGACGACAACGGCGTCACGGCGGAGCCGCCGCTGCTCCGGACGCCGCAGGATCACGACACTGGCGACATTACCGTGTGAGAACTGTGACGCACCAGCTCCGACTGAGGTCTGGCTGAGACAGCCAGCGCCCGTCGGCTCAGTGAGGTACGAGAGCTTTCAGCACAAGCGTCAGAGGACATCGTGTGACAGGCACGTGACGATGCCTTGTTGCCAAAGAGGTGTGACCTGAGCATCAAGTGTTTATTATTCCAACGCTTTTACCCATCGTGTGCGTGGCTGGCTGTTTCTTTTAATCGATGTGTACGATAAGTTATAACTCAGACTTACTTTACCTGTATTTTACATGCGTACCTGTATTCCTAAAATACGTGATTTGGGCTTATGTACGTGTTCTTATTGAAGATTAATGATGTTCTTTTTTCATGCATCGTTCTTTTTAGAATAAGGCAAGGGTAATTGGTTTTACATTCAGCAATTTTCGTTGAAAAATTATATTTTGGCAAGCGGATGGATGACGAAATGTTCGCTGGTTTTTTAATAGTTAAGGCTCAGATTGAAATTCATGCCGTTTGCCATTTTAAAACTGTTTAATGGTTTATATTCCGTTATGTTTGACGTTAGCACTCAGCACTCAGCGGTGAATGTTCGCCAGCCTGACGACTTCACGTATTGGCCGTGTCATGTGTGCTCGGTACTTGGTAGACCAGATACCGCTTCACCTCCCAGATAGTCAAGATCCATCACCCAGGGAGTTGCGCTCTGTAACGTAGGACGTATGTTCAAGGTTAATCGACCTTGTGCGATGCATGTTTTTCCGGTAGTAAAACTCTGAGTTGTGTCTCAAATCTGTATGTTCACTGCCGATGCACTCAAATACGGATGCCGACAGAATCGGGTATTATTTCATTTTGATTAATTCTCATCATCGGGAACACTATGCTGTAGGTATAATGTATATGGTAGAATAGATAATTGTCACTCGTGTGTTTTGTGTTGGAACCCGGAAGATGTGTGGCGTCTATGCATGCTATGTTCCAATATACCCAGAATCGTCTACAGCTCGTGTTCTCTCCTTCCATCTACTTCACGTAACATTGGTGCGAGATCGGTTACACCTCGTAAGGTAGACTTCAGAGTCATATGAAAATGGACCAAACGAGGCTCATGGATAACTTAGGCATCTGAGCTGGACCGAATCAGCCAGATCTGGCCCAGTGTATGGCGCTGCGACTTGCAGCTAACACACTGCTGGACAGCCGGATCAATTGACAAGAAGTGGAAGGGGAGGGGGAAGATCATTGGGGCCCAAGATTACTTTACTACTCATTGGGGCCAATGCCATCACAACCTTTCGAAACGGAATGAGCAGTTCACATCGTCCACGTAGGTAAGGGGCGCAGCAAAGGGGTAGGGGTGCACAGAGGCGGATCCAGCTCAGAGGTTTGGGGGGGGGGGCAAACCATAAAAATTTATCGATTCTTTCCATGCATCGTCCATAGGCGTAATGTTAAAATCATGCCGTTTGGGGGGGCAAATGCCCATTTTGCCCCCCCCCCTGGATCCGCCACTGGGGGTGCACTATGGGCTTAGTCCCTCCCAAATATAGCAAACGCCTTTCAAGATCATTTCGGGGCGCCGAAGGCGGCTTTCCACTTTCCAGCACTTTAGGCGCCGTCAGGGGGTGGTTTGAGTTTTGACAGAGACAGGGTGGTTTGGTATCTAAACCAAGGCCATCTATCTAAACTATCTTGAAGGATCTTGTCGATGATGAAAGAGTGCCGTGACGTCATTGGCTCGATAAGGATGTGATGACGTTATTTTTTAAGTACCTTGCGTAAGACGGTTGATCGTTGACGTGCGTCAGAATTGAAGTCAGACTGGCGCCGTCACACGTGGAAGCGGAGAGCTGTGAATATCGGTATTGGGAGTTTATTTAAAATTATACAAGTGCAAAAGTTTGATCTTGATCTATAACTATGGCAGAGGAAGAAGCGGTAAGTAGTTTTATTTTCTCATAAACCTTTCTAGCTTTTGTCATGATGTACATTTAGGCACGGGTGGAGAATGTTTGAAAAAGTTACCCCAGCCGGCGACCGAAAGTCAGAAAGACGATGATGCTCAAATATTTGTCAACGGTTATCAACAAACCCCTATTCTGTGGCATAGAATAATGGATGTCTGCGTACGTTTTTAGGGAAAACTGGTGCACGCAGGTGCGGAAGATTTCGTAATTGTAACAACAATTTTGCAACACGCCTTAAAATTCCGGACGCATGTCACCTAGTGCTAGATCAGGTCATCAGGTCAAATTTGCTGGATGATCGTTCTAAAAATGCCATCATGCCCTTTGCAAAGCTTATTCGGTGGAAGTTGCAATCTTCCCACACAAAACAAAATGTCAAATTTGACCATTTTGACCCTCTTATTGATTTGAGCTCGCACCTGAAATATTATTCGCGACCGAGCCTTAAACCAGTAATCAAATGTTTTGTTTGCAGTGTTTAACCTCCGTTATGTTCATGAACTGTGAGAAAAGTTGTCGGAGAATGCTAAAATCAGAGAAATTTGGCTTTTGATGATCTATGATGATTGTATAATTGAGCTTGCCTAAAACCCAGACTGCAAAGTATGGCAATTTCGACGAGATCTCGTCGGTGCGGGCTTGTTCGACTGGTGCGGATTTTGGAGTGGTGCGGTGCGGATTTGGCCTGTGCGGTGCGGATTTGGCTTGGACCTTGCTGCGGTGCGGACTCCGCTTGGTCTTCTTACCCGGCCGGGTTCCCTGCCAGGTTCCCTGACTGTTCTTTGGAAAGCCCTACAAATGCGTGCCAGCCACGGTGACGCACGGTGACGGACCAAGGTTTTCAATTAACTCTACGAACTAACAATTGCGGCAAAACAAATCCATTCTCGCCTTGGGAATTACCTATCGTGATGACGACGTCATTAGAGCGAAGACTCGTTGCGGTGGTGACTGGTGATTTGTGTGCTATATATGTCACATTTGCGAGCAGCTGGTTTGGATTCCCAATCAGCGCGCTACTTTGGAATGACATCATTGTTTTTACTCATACGAAAGTTTGTTGGGGCGATTTGATCAAGGCTCGCGACATTCACACGTGACTTTTAGCTTGTAGAAGGCCCACAGAGGGGGAGAAGTTCCGAATGTCACGTGACCCAATATGCCCTCCAGCGCCCTATTTTCACCGGCGTCCGTCTATTTGCTCTATTTCAAACTTCCGGTACGAGTGCGCCGCGCGGTCTCCCGTGGTGAGCGTTGCTCAAGCCATAAGTGAAACTGAAAGTGGATGGGAAATAATTATAGTAGATGAATTAATCCCTTGCATTATAATTGCCTGTCGGTTCCCGTTTCGGTGCGGATTTTTTGGGCTCTCGGCAAGCTTTGGTGCGGATTTTCCGGCTTAGTTTGAAGGGTTGGTGCGGATTTTGAACTTGGGCCGGTGCGCCTCGTCGACCTGCGTGCCATACTTTGCAGTCTGGCCTAAAACATGACCAGATTTCTCTGGTCACGTTTGTCGCCCTTTCAAACGTCGTTCCGCTTCTCGCCTCGTAGCCCAGTAGCCGAGTTAGAAGGAGTGTGAAAAGCCCACCTCTCAACTCAACGTGTTGCGATTAGGCCACCACCCTGGCGCGGGCTAAGTTGGGGGAGCCTTGAGCCCCAGCAGCTCGTCCTTCTATCTCACTGATATTACCCTTGTCCTATCTTGTGATGTTATTACATTGCCATCTTACGATAACGGCCCTTAAATATGATTTACTTCTGTTTGATGAAACATGTCGGGCTCCGCGATGAAAAGACTTAAAAACATAGAAGCTTCAAAATGAAAATAAGTAAATTTTCAAGAACTTTTCAAGGTAGATAAGAATAATGAGAGACACTTTTATAGATGGCAGTTTTTTCGTATGGAGACAGCTTTTAGGATTTACAAAAGTGGAAAAATTTACCCCGGACGCGCTGGGGTCGGCTGAAAGTTACCCCGGCCACGGCCGGGGTGGCCGGGGTAGGTTCTCCACCCATGCATTTAGGACATACCTACATATCATCGTTCCTTGAGTTTTTGCAAAAAGTTTTATTCACTTTAAAAAGGCTAGGATGGGTTGTAATGTATTTGGCATCTTTGCTGCTTTTGCCTTGTTTCGCATTATGAGAAAGCATAGGCTACTTAAGATACAATTCATTTTATTTTGTCAATAAATCAAAATACAAGAAATGATGTTAAGGTCCAGGCATGAAAAAATACAGTTTAAGCCGAATATGTCCGACAAAGCGGCTTGATTGCGCCAAAATATTCTGTGCATGTCCGGCGTAACATCGCATGCGTCAAATTCGGCGCATGCTGGCCACTTTCGGCACAAGGTTGTCACATAATTTTTCGGCGAATGGCGGTTACCAAATATTTTGGCACGCTGGCTACTCTAGCAGCAGATTCATCCTGAGGGCAGCTCTGGAAAGGGTTTGGGATGAGACGCCCCTCGCTCCAATCATTGCGTGCTCTGAATTGCGAGCCGCCCTGAGTACTCAGTGAATGTGCGGCAGCCTAGGTGAGGCCTGAGGCCTCCACCCTTAGCGCGGATATAGGTATGGAAGACCTTGGTGAACATCGCTGGGTGTAGTGAAGTATTCCTGGATCGAGGGGAATGAGAGATTAGACATTAGACAACCTGGCAAAGCAAGGGGCAGCCCTGCCCTTGGACACCCGCTTGCTAACTCGGCCAGTTCATTGTGTGTCAATGTGCGGATTCGCGTCAATGTAGCGCGACACTGGTCCGAGTCGGATGGAGATCTCAAAATTTCAGGGGGGGGAGGTCCAGGCCGGGCAGATGGAGGCGGGCTGGATGCAGTACCATTGACTATCAGAGCAGTAATTCGTTTTTAGGGGGGCCGGACCCCCGAGATCTCCACCTCTGGTCCGAGTTACTATTCAAGCCACTCTTCGGGAGCAGGCTGCAACCCATGCTCGCAGAGGACCGAGAGGACGCTGTTTTGGTACATCAGATAGGGCAGGCCACTGGGGCCTCTCGCTCCAGCACGTGCACTGAATCGGCCGTCTCCCTTCCGCCGCGTGCCAGCAGTGCCTGGACAAGTAGTGTCCGCACAAGAGGCAGATGTCCTGGAGCACGTGCTGCTCCGCTGCCTGGTCCTCGCCGGCGCCCGCCAGCCTTGAACACACCGCTCCGCCGATTTTTGTGGCCCCCAAACTTCCGGCCCGGGCGAAATCAGCGCAAAATCGCTTGTGCCGAATCGCTAGAGGTCATCATATCAAAGGTTAAAACTCAAATGTCGTCCATTTCAACAATTTTGCAAGCTGCAAACGGCTAACTCGGGAACCAATAGAGCTACAGCACCGCGGAAAGGCGCATTCGATCGCCCTTTTACAGACCTTTCTGTGTAATGTTCTCAGATTTGACCTAAGGTCAAACACCTCAACGGTTTAGCAGGACAAAAACTAAAAATAGCCGTTTTCACGAAAAAGGTTTTCGGTAATAACTTTCCGGTAATAACTTTCGATTCAAGCAAGCCACGACATTACTTTTGACAGCATCGTGTTCCTCTTGTTGAGACGCGTCGAATGAATTATTCGTTGACCTTGAAAGGTCATTTTGAAAATATGACCTTAGGTCAAGGTCATGTTCTGACCGGGAAGGGTCATGCTGCATATCAGTCGACCCGTATCGTCGAGCTGAATACATCTGACGTGTTTTCATCGCTCTGGCACGTCTCTAACAAAAGTTATAGCCAACAAACTGCTGCTGACCATTCATGACCTGAAATTACCTCAGGGGCACACACGCTTCAGTGTGTCATGTTTACCCATGAACCGATGTTTGAGAGGGGATTCGTCCAAGAGGCGCATTTCAATTTTCTCCCATTGACTTATAATGGAGAGGTCGCAAAATTGACCTGACCTTAGGTCACAGATATCAAACTTCCGAGATATACATTTTGTTCATACCTACTGTTACTCTTAGCAATCGCTGAAAGTTTCAAGGTGATCGTTCAGTGGGTGTAGCTAGGACGAGGATTGAAACTTTTTCTGAGGTGAGGTCACGATGTGACCTGGTGACCTGACCTTGAGAGCCCTGGGTCTGAAATTTTCACATGTGCGGAAAGGATGCAAACAGGTTTCCCAAAAATGGCGGCGCTCCGCGCCGTTTTTGACTTTTGAGATATCTGCGAAAAACTGCAGGGGGAAGGGGGTGTTCAAGCCCCCCCTCCCGGCCCGGCGCGGGTTAAGGATGTCATTGTAGTCTGAGCAGACTTAAGATTTAAATCATTTAAAACATTTTACCGGCTACTGGTTTTCTACAGCACCTAAAATGCAGCTGCGCATGTCAGAGCGCACCCCTGGTTTCTGTGAGAAACCTTTTTGTCACAATTCTCGGTAACCAAATCCCTGTCCTGTTTTTGGCAGTTGGATATCTTTGACGCCTCAAAGAAGAAGAAAAAGAAGAAGAAGACTCCGTTTGACATTGACGCCGCTCTGGGCGAGGGTGGCGGAGCGTCGGCGAGCGCTGCGTCCGCAGCTGAGACAGCGCCGGCCGCCGACACCGCCGCCGGCTCCTCCAGCCAAGATGCCGCCCCCTCCTCCTCCTACGCAATCGATGACGGTACGCACCGCGAGATTTCGGCCGCTGGCGGGCTGTATAAGTTGTGCTATGTGGCACACTGTTTCATTGCATTTTGGGGCAGGCCAAAGTTGACCAAAGTTGGTGGGCATAGATTACATTTTTTCTCGCTTACTGGCTGTATGTGCCTACAAAAGTGCTTCATTGCTCAAGTGTGAGCCTGTTGCAAAGACATTTTGATCCTACAAATGGCATAAAATCGTAAATGATTCATTTTCAATTTCGCAATCAGTTCTTACATATTTATTTATGTTATGTAGGGCCAATTGCGGCACTTATTGTCAATGTGTCCTGATTCTGTGCTTCATTATTTCAGACATTAACCTTGACCTGGAGACCTTTGGCAAAAAGAAGAAAAAGAAGAAGATGCCGCTGAATTTGGACGAGTTGGGTGATGCATTGCCAGTTGCTGAGCCCAAACCAGAGGTTGTTGAAGAGGTAGGACATTGTGTCACGTTCCTCTCAAGGGTCTGATGATGAGTGGTATGGTAACCCAAAGTGGGTTGAACTCGAAGTGTCCTGTCCAAGCACAATGCAGCTGAAGTATGGTTTCTTAAAAACCATAGTCAAAACAATGATTGGTGAATCTCTCTCTCTCTCTCTCTCTCTCTCTCTCTCTCTCTCTCTCTCTCTCTCTCTCTCTCTCTCTCTCTCTCTCTCTCTCTCTCTCTCTCTCTCTCTCTTCCTAGATTCTTCTGCTTCTTTTTTCAGGCTGTTCAATGATGAATCATTTCAGACGAAACTTAGTGAGACTGCTTTTTCAAAGTCCAAATTTGTGCCTGTGGGACGGAGGAAAGGCATTCTCTCGTGACTTGTGAGGTCTTTATTCCTCTTGAACGTATTGCAGGCTGCCGAAGATTTGGATCTTGATCTGGACATGGACTTCAGTAAGAGTAAAAAGAAGAAGAAAAAGAAGAAGGACATTGAGGAGCTGGTGGCGGGTGACGACGCTGAGAACGAGGAGCCCGGTAGGTACCGTCAGCTGCGGTCTGTAGATGGCGCTGTTCACGAGTCACCCCGGTACCAGGCCAATCGGGAACATTACTCGCTAAGCTGAGATATTTATCAGTCGCTGGTGCATTCAGGAAGGATGTCAGATGGATATCGATGACGGCAGACTCCTGCATGATTGCAGAAGAGAGAAGGACATTATCAGCTATGTAATCGATCTACACCTCTGTGTGGTTTTGGCTCTTTACGTAAACTCTGTCAGGTTTTTGTCCAAATTTACTATTTAGCGAAATAGGTCGATTGGCGATGTTTGAATATGAATTTGAAAATATGTACCTAAAGAGCCCTAGTTCTTGGTTTTCCGACCAACTTTCCACCCAAGCATGACGGAAGTCCGTTTTAGCATTTACATGAGCTTATGTGGCGTTCAGTATCGATCTGATCTGCTTTCTTCAGGGGACTGCTGCATCTCTAAATTTCACGAGTGGCATTTCGAGTGGCTAAATTTCGTGTCGTCCCAAGTCGAAAACTGACCCTATAAATGCTGAACTAGACTCTTTACGCATTCAGGAAATCGCATGCGAGAACCTATTCAAATACGCTATAATTCTTCCCGCATCAATCGCATGCTGGAGTTGCGTGCGATTGATGCGAGCGTGCTTCCATGTATTTTAATAGGCTCTCGCATGCGATTTCCTGACTGCGGAAAGTCTGGTTCAGGCTTTAGGCCCTTGGTAGGTTATAGACCCCTGACAAGCTTGTTCTATAGTTTGCCATGCCAGCACCCATGATTAACGTCCCCATGATATATCTCGCCTTGCGCGAGACGTCGTGGGTGTGGAACGGCGGGTGGATGGGTATGGGTCTTCAGTTAACATAATGTCTGCTTTGTGTGCCTTAAAAGGTCGACGAGGATGAGATTCGAACTCACGCGGGGAGACCCCATTGGATTAGCAGTCCAACGCCTTAACCACTCGGCCACCTCGTCCCATGAATGATGCGGAAGCCGAAATATTGCTGCCGATAGGCTTGTTCTGTTTGGAAATTATTGCCCCAGCTAGGGCTGAGCATTGCCACCATGCTCACCCCTGAACCTTTTGTGACAGTGCACTGCTGCAATACGCTCATCCATTCCCTAGGGCGCTGGGGAGCCTTGGGATTGCGCCCGGCGATATTTACGCAACAGTTATCGAAATACTTTTATTTCGGTGAACATCTCCTGGCACTATGTCAATCGACATTGCGTATAGCCATGCCTAATTATGGAGAGGGAAACATCGCTAGCATTTTGGCGGCAGGGTTGGAAAGTGCGCTTATAATAGATCAGTTCTGGTATGGAAGTAAGCCTGGGTACGGACGGATATGTATCAGAGACCAACTCCCGTCGGTTGACCCTCCCGGCGCTGTCCGCCGCTCGACTGACCCGGGGCGGGCGGTGACCGACAGCGGACCAGGACGGCACCGGCTGGGCGGGCACCGACCGCGACTACACCTACGACGAGCTGCTGACGCGCGTGTTTGACATCATGCGCGAAAAGAACCCCGACATGGTGGCCGGCGAGAAGCGCAAGTTCGTGATGCGCCCGCCACAGGTGGTGCGACTCGGCGCCAAAAAATCCAGCTTCGTCAACTTTGCAGACATCTGCAAAATGTAAGTCACAGAGCTTATTCGTCAGGGGCTCTAATGATATGAATACAACATTGGAATAACGAAGAAGTTGGATGAAAGTTGTGCAATGTGTATTTATTGCGTAACATCGTACATACTCCTTGATAGTTGAGTTGTCCACGGTCGCGAACAAGCTGCCAAACTCCATCACCCTCTATTCGGTGTTTATCGCTCTACTGTTATATCACACCTCTGTCTCTGTACAGGCTCCACCGGCAGCCGCAGCACCTGCTAAACTTCCTGTTCGCCGAGCTGGGTACGTCGGGCTCTGTGGACGGCACCAACCAGCTCATCATCAAGGGCCGCTTCCAGCAGAAGCAGATTGAGACAGTGCTGCGCCGCTACATCAGGGTAGGTGGGGGGCCGGGGCGCGCGTCAGACAGCGCGTCTCTCGCCCATACCGGGGGAGAGCGGCGGACAGAGTGGGTTGTGATAGGATAGTTATATTTACGGGGTGTGACTATATATTACTATGCGACTTTATATTATATGGCTGTGTATTACTATATCTACGGGTGTATTATGTGTTGGCTAACCCAGCTTTATTCGATTTACTGTCAACTAGCTACTTTTTCGGCCGTACCTAATATAAACATGAATACGCTGGTGGCATAGATAATGCATCTAACTATTCAGTATTCCCCTACGATGCATGTGATGGCAAGTCTTGCATTGATGCCAAGGATGACTAGTGTAACGGAGGCAGTGTTCCATTTTTGGAAATTTTGGGTGGAAAATCACACCTAATGGGTAGAATATTTTCATCCCCAAAACCAGGTAAATTGGAATTCTTTCATCTTTGAAAAATGCTCAACTCATGCTCAACAATTAACAGCCAGATTACCAGATATACCTAGCAGTGCCATATAGACAGTTAGAACTTATAGGTTTGCTACATAATGCATAATTTCCATGAAAAAAAGCGAAATCAAGGCACAAACCCAACAACTCACCCTGACTGACAACGAAAGAAAATAACCTTGCACACTTCCAGCTGTTAATAACAAATATGCGTTGAATGACCTTGATCACCTCAACTGTTTGTAAAAAAACAGGCTTGTGTTCTGAATAAATGCTTTTGGATATTAATAACAACTATGATTAATGGTTTGCTGCCAACGCAAAACGGATGAGCCGCTGCTTGCGCAAATTAAACACTACCTGTGCAATTCGCTTTTGACTAAGTTGCGCAGGATACGCCTACAAAATTTTCATCTTTGGACCCGCAGTCAGCTGGGCACACCCTGGCACACCCTAGGGATGAATTTAAAACTTGGTGGGCTCTAACTTCTTTCATATACAAAATAGGGGTATGAGACAGGTACCATCTTATTTTACATTCATTTCTGATCCTATTGTATCAATTTCACCACAAATTATGTCCGTCAATGGCTTCTAGAGGACTTTAAAGCTCGATGCGTCGGGCCTGGCAGAGGTCCAAGATGAGAAAAGCCACCCTGCGCACACCCAAGGGATGAATTTAAAACTCCGCGGGCTCTGGCTGGTTTCATAGGTAAAATAATGTTTTGAGACCGATGCCAATTTATTCTGCGCTTATTTCTGATCCTATCGCATTAATTTCGCCACAAATTATGTCCGTCAATGGCTTCTAGAGGACTTTAAAGCTCGAGGCGTCGCGCCTGGTAGAGGTCCAAGATGAGAAAAGCCACCCTGGGCACACCCTAGGGATGAATTTAAAACTCCGCGGGCTCTGGCTGGTTTCATAGGCAAAATAATGTTTTGAGACCGATACTAATTTATTCTGCGTTCTTTTCTGATCATATTATATCAATTTCACCACAAATTATTTACGTTATTAGTTTTTAGATGTCTTTAAAACTCGAGGCGTCGGGTCGGGCAGGGGTTCAAGATGACTGACACGCCACCCTGGCACACCCTAGGGATGAATATGAAACTCTGTGGACTCTGGCAGGTTTCATACGCGAAATGAGGTTATAAGACCGGTAATGATGTATTTTACGTTAATTTCTCATGTCTTTGCAATAATCTTACCGCCAATTATTCATTTCAATTAGTTTCTAAAGGTTTTTAAACACGAAGCATTCGGCCGAGGGAAAGCCAAGATGAATGAAAGGATACCTTGGCACACCTCTAGGGATAAATTTAAGATACGGTATTCCCAGATCTGCCCAATACATGTTCTGAAGCTGGTAGATGGGATTAAGAAGGCCCTAGCTTTTTAATAAATTATCCCTCGCCCGTATAAGGGGGGGGGGTCGAACGAACCACCCCCTCGTTTTTTCGAGAATAACTCGCGTAAAAAGCGGCCGATCGCGACGAAACTTTCAGGACCCTCGAGTCAATTAATTTGACACCTACTCTGAAAATCTCATATTCCTGACCCAAATGACCTTTGACCTGTGACCTATTTCTTGAGGCCATGTTTGGCCGGAATCGCGATTCGGCGAGCCGCTAATGCGTTCCGTTCACTCCCGTTCCGTTTCGGGTGTTCTGGTCAGTTGAACTCTCGCTTTCCCTTCCGCTTGGGGTGTCCTGATCAGCGATGCCCTCCGTTCCGTTGCAGTTGCTCTGATCAGTGATCACTGATGCCCTCCGTTCTGTTGCGGGTGCTCTGATCACTGATCACTGATCATTGACGCTTTCACTCAGCACTTATCACGTGACATGATACGAAGCTACCGCTCCGTTTCGGTGGCCGGCCATGAGGTCGGTGGCATCCTTTTATCATTTTTTTTTTTGCATCCCGTTCCGTTCCGATATGGATGCCCTGGTTACTGGTTAGTTGCACGCTTTTTATTGCGATATTGCGTATTATGCTGCGCAGTGCACATCGATCCGTTTGGGGTGCCCTAATCAGTGACCCTTTGTCTAGTCTCATGTAGTGTACCGTTCCTTTCGAAGAGTTGCGCTGACACCGTTTCCATTTTCACTATGCGTAATGAGTACCGACTATCGCTGGCCGTTCCGGCGTTCGGGCCGGGAGATTTCCGGCGTATGTCATGCTGCATAGTGCGACTGCAATTGCATACTCAATACTGCGTCCCGTTCCGTGTGCCCAGAGCAAAGGCACCATTTCCAGTATCATCCGGCCATTGTCATATCTGTTGAAAATGGAAAGCTCAAAGCTATACTGCGTACATACTGTACATATATACTGTACACTGTACGAATATTACCAGATCAGATGCGAACGAAAACTACATACTTATATTGCCGCATATTATCTCAAATATACAGTAATCTTGGAAGCGGTGCTGCCATATTGTAGGCGCAAAACGTCCCAGAGGCCAGAACACATGAGTTATACGGTTTCTGGTTTCATAGCGATCAGTTACGTCAACAAACTGCCCATCAGGGTATCATGATTACCTAAGATTTTATGTCTAACAGTGTCACAGTGATGACCACGCCTCACGCATTACACACTTACATACAAATACACAGTCTGAGTCAACTGCACTAAATCAATAATACAGGACGACAGAATGATACCCTTTGCAACGGCAACGACAGTTTCCTTCCCACTTCCTTTGCTTAAAAAAGAAAGAAAACTTCTCCACATGGCACTAGTACCAAAGCCTGCATATAGAGAGAGCTCCCTCACCCGCCCCTCCCACAGATTTCAACAGAATCATTGCATCTTCTGCTTCTTAAAGACCTAGTTCGCTCGCATGATGGCAACTGGCGTCGCGAGGATGGAGGTCCGCGGATGATCTTTAGGAGAAATATACAGGCAGAAGGACCGTCCTGGATCCGTGCCAGTAAGCATGAGTAGGAACTTAGCAGGTGCTGACGGTAATATCTGCTGTCTGCATCTGAAACGGAAAGGAAGGCATTGATTTAAGGCTAGGAGAAGGATGGCCACTGGACAGTCATTCAATTGTGACAATGCATTTTGACTTGTGAGGAAAATGAAATCTCACTGGTGGAAGTAGGTATTCATTCTTTGCTGTATAAGAGACAAGGGTGATTCTTAACTTCATTAGTCTCAATCAAGCACAAAGGTTGGGATAAAATGGGACGGATTTCGAAACACTTGGCGATCAGATGCTAAAGTTATAATTCTGCCGTATATCATCCTTACCTATTTGCATCGTCTTTTTCGGTTAGTTTTGGTGGTCAGGAATGATATGTTCTTTTATTATCAGCCAGCGTAGCGTTACGCCTTTATTGCGAAAGTGATATAGGTTTTCACTTGTTTTTTTTTTCTCATCCTAGATTTTTTGGTCATCATCGTCACACCCAACCAAAATCCAATTTTAGAACACTGAACGGAGGTGTAAGTCAGGTCTCAGAAGAATACGCGTAATTGTCACAACTACAAGTACCGTATTTGAAGCCAATGACAGCCGTATGATGTCATATGATGTGGCATATGGTGACAAATGTCGCCGCTTAGGTTTTTAGAGCGACGCAATAAAGATGAAATATTATGCTTGAAACAAGCTACCACAGCCGACATCCCAACTTCGTAATGCATGAAAGGTACTGACCAGTGACCAACGTCACTAATCCAATCTAAATAATCAGTCTGGCTTATGCACCGCTTATGCCGCTTTCACACTATCAACCACAGAAAGTCATCAAATGAAAGTTGTAGAGAAAATCTTTACAGACATACATACAGGAATGCATGAAAACTAAATGAATGCGATTTATCACCGAAAAGCATAGTGGGGATATACACTGCACAGTGTAAAGCCGGTTTACCGGCCTACGGGCTCCCGCCGATCAGCTCACGAGTCACGACTGTATATACTTCGTTGTGTGGCTGTGTGACATCCCTCGCATTGGGCTGGATCGCCCGGTTTTCGACCGGTCTCTTACTTCACCGTTGGTTGGCAGCCGGTCTGCCAGCATAGCGTAAGACGTGTGTTGAAAATTGTTATCAATTGTCACAACCCAAATTCCTTTGATGCAAATGAAACTTGCATGAATCGTTTCTTCAGACGTCACAAATCGCAAGTGATGTCATCGCAATGTAATTGATCGGCTTTGTATTCGATGGCTTGCTGCTTGCTACGTTGCAATAGCGTGTAGATAATTTGCTACGATAAAAATATTTAGGAACTCGCTGATGATCATCATCAGCAAAAAGTTGGTGTCAAGATTTGCTTAAAAAAACACACACAAAAAAAGCATCCATCGCTCAGTGCTGATCAGGCATCAACACAGGTCATGGCAGCGCTGTAACTTTTTCGGTGCAAAGGGAAGTTTTTTTTTCATTGAATACCTGACCCTAAACCCATGACCGGTATGGATTTTCTTATTACATATTGCAAGACCTAGTGGATTACGAGGTTGAGATCTCGTATCGATTACACCTCTTATATGAATAATTATCTGTGCATCTCTAATGCGACTTGTGACTGTTAACGATTTGCAATGATTTGCGTGCAATATTACAAAACGAACGTGTTTGAGGAGTTGACCGGTTTCGGTTTGGCGTGGTTCGGTGCGTTGACCGGCCCGTCGGTAAGGCGTGGCTCGGTGCGTTGACCCTGCGACACCTCTCCGTCCTGCAGGAGTACGTGACCTGCCACACGTGCCGCTCGCCCGACACCATTCTGCAGAAGGACACGCGCCTCTTCTTCCTGCAGTGCGAGTCGTGCGGCTCGCGGTGTACGGTCGCCTCGATCAAGTCCGGTTTCCAGGTGAGCGTCCGGCCCGCGCCCCGTGTCCGGTCTGTCCTTCCCGGGCGCGACACACTGACCGTCTTACAATTGACATCACACGTGATACGGACGGTGTTGTGCAATGTGCATGGATGATTGGTGGGAACTCATATTAAGAGTTCTAGGCTCATGGGATGTCAATCATTGTTCTTTGTTTTCTGCTGTTTGGTTTTGTTTTTATTGCTTAACTATTATTATACAGTTGTTTGCACAATCGGTGCTTGGAGATCATGACGCATGATAAGGCTCTCCGAAATCTTTGCGACATCGGGCTTTACAGCTTTGACAGATTTGACGACGCAGCTGTGTTTTCTTAGCGTACTTGTTTGTCCAGTTTATACACCTGTTCTATTGCCTAGTCCCAAGGTAGTTTGTTTGCAGTTTGTAGAACGCCATTCAGCTCTTGCATCATTGTCGCTGTCCGGCGCATCTGCGACTGTGTCGCGCTGGGACGGCGATTCAGGCCGCCGGCCCGGTCCGGCCCGCTGGACCGGCTGCCGAACCGGAGCTGTCACGTTTCCGGCTGCGGACCGCGGTGACCGCTCGGGGCCGGTTACTGCCCGCGCCGCCCCGGAGCGCAGCCACGCGCGTATACGCAATAGTCGGGTTCTATCACATAATACCTCGCAAATTGAGTGTCGTATTTCTGAATTATTATGCGTAACCTATTGTCGATTGCTTATCTAAACGAGTAAGCTCATGTACTTGATAAAATCTCGTAAATTTCTATTATTGCAGTGTGGCACAGTGAGATGCCGTTTGTCTTGCGCAACACTTTAAGAATAAATTTGAATTTTATTAAACATTTCACTCCAGGACAAATGAAAACACCAAAAAGCTGCCATCGCTCTTTTTGGCCCGTTGGCATTGTTTATTTTTGTGGTTGTGCTGTGAACATATTTGGCATGTCAAGCGGCACAAGGCAGTATAAATTTGTCCATCGGTGGTGACGCCACCTGGCGCCTATTTGTGTCCTGCGATGTTACGTGACCCGCCACCTCCGCTCACTCGTTTGACATCCGTGTGAGATCCCTGTGTCTACCGTCAAGCCGTCACCTCTGCTCACCCGTGTTACACCTCTGTGACCCCTGCTCACCCGTGTGACACACCTCCCTCTGTGTCTGCCCACAGGCCGTCACCGGGAAGCGGTCCGTGCTCCGAGCCAAGGCGAGCTGAGCGGGCGCCGCGGAGGGACGCCAGCCGCGCCCCACCCACCCCCGAGTCAGTTTATACCGCTCTATATTATAATAAACGGACACTGGTGTTTGGTCCCGTGTGTTGACGGCGTTGGACGACGGCAGTGGCACCATATGGGGTGATGGGCGAACGGTTCGATAGGGGTGACGGGCAGACGGTGTGGTGGATAGGCACTGAATCCGAGGGATCCGAGGACCCTCGCTGGCTGAATGCGAGCACAGTCTGTCATGACCGGCGGGCACTGATGCCAGTCCATTCTCCGATCAGCCAGCTTCGCTATGGTTCTCTGGCGACAACTTTGGCGATTACAATTTTGGATTGTTTGATCACCTGGAAATTATTGATATGCAATTCTATTTGTATAATCTAAATGACTTCTCAATAAACTAACAATTAAAACTTTCTTTTTTCTGTCCACCCGTCTAATTTATGGTAGAACATCGGGGTCGTAGTGGTGTTTATTCCGGGACAAAGCACTGCTATAGGCGTTCTTATCCCTCAATGGTACAGGAGTACGGGAGTAAGGAGAGATACGAGGGGGCTGTTGGGTGCATGCCGCGGCGCTTGTCGGATCCTGCAAAAGCAAAACGATGGAAGGTATCATACGCACAACCGACTGCGGCCCTGGTGGCGCAGTCGGTTGAGGCGTCGACCCGCGGTGCGGGCGGTGCCGGGTTTCGGGTTCGATTCCCGGTTCCGCCCGTTCCGCGGGCGTCGTCCCCGGCTGTGTCACCAGGTGTGGGGTAGGCTCCCACTTCAGCCGTAGCCTGAGGGGTGGGGGAACAAGGGCCAGGAGGAGGAGGAGCCGTCCTGTAATCAGGGGCGGATCCAGGAAAATTCCAAGGGGAGGGTCATGAATCGAAGTGGTGCCCCTACCTATACCCAAAATTAAAAACTCAACGGATTTCGTCCACTTCATTTTGGTGGTGCCCCCATTTTCAGTTTTTTTTTCTTTTTATTTTTTTATTTTAAGTCAGTATCTTAACTCTTGCCACAGCCACATTTACCAATTGTAAGCAAGTATATATGAATGTACTATGTGTATATATGTTGTGGACGCTGAGTAGTGAGTACTTACCAGGAACGTTATCAGGTAAGCGAATCGTTGTCAGTCCGACGAACTTGACCCTGGCGTCTAAAGGGTCTGTCCTTGACACTTCAGGCTTGTCAGGGGCACCAAAGTCCTTCCAGGGACACCACAAACCTGTCAGGGGCACCTACGGCCTTGTAGAGGCGCCACAGGCCCGCCAGGAAGCAGGGGCACCACAGGTCTAGCAAGTATACACGACAGGCCTGTCAGGGGCACAACGGGCCTGTTGGGCCCATGAGCACCCCTAGGGGCAGGGGCACCACAGTCCTTCCAGGGGCACCGCAGGCCTGTGAGGGGCACCAGCGGCCTAGCAGGGGCACCAGTCAACACAGGCCTGCCAGGGGCACCACAGACCTGCCAGGGGCACCAGAGGCCTGCCAGGAGCACCACCGACCTTGCAGGGGTAACTTGGGCCTGTCAGGGGCACCACGGGCCTGTCGAGAGGCACTTCAGGCTTTTCAGGGGCACCATAGTCCTCTCCGGGCGCAGGGGTAGCAGGGGCACCAGAGGCCTGCCAGGGGCACTACAGGCCTAGCAAGGGCACCACTGGTCTATCAGGGGCACCACGAGCCTGTCATAGCCAGGCATCTCAGGCTTGTCAAGGCCAAGGGGCACCACAGGTCTGTGAGGGGCACCAGCGACCTAGCAGGGGCACCAGTCAACACAGGTCTGCACAGTGATGCAAATGGGGTTCACGAGTGGCCATAAATACCCAAAAGTCAAATTTACCAAATCGAGTTAATTGCGATATGGCCGAGTAGACAAATGTTTGGGGCATCTGAAATCACATGGTTTTCATGTTTTTGTCAAAACCGGCCTCGTGTATAATCGTCAGAAGTCGTGACATTTTCTAGGTCGTAAAATGACGGTCAGACACTCGCAAGTTCAAACGCTGCTGGTTTGCGTTCATTTCGTACAAATTGAAAAAATTATGCATGGGAATGATCCCCAAAGCCTTCTGCTTCTAATGCCGAGTCACAAAAAGCCGTATCTCATTCGCTTTGGCGGTAATCTGACTAATTAGCATCATGTTGCAATCGAAGTTTTTTACTAAGAAAAAAATGCTTTCGTTTCACCTACAGCACTTAACACAGTGTGTGCCCGTTAGTCCACCATACCATAGCCTTCCCTAATCATTTCTGAGTCGCATCGTGAAAGAATTAAGCCGCTAGCACAGGGCTGACCGGCGCTACAGAGGTTTTTGTCCGGGCGGTCGGGTGCCGCAGTGGGCGCGCAGTGGGCGGGTGAGTGCCGCCGCGCGACGTCCGGGCGGCGCGGCGGCCCGGCCGCCCCGGGCCGCCCGCTGCGCCGCGGCACCCGATCGTGCCGGATGAAAACTTCTGTAGCGCCGGTCAGCCCTGTGCTAGCGCCTTAATTCTTTCACGATGCGACTCAGAAATGATTAAGGAATGCTATGATATGGTGCACTAACTAGCACACACTGTGTGAAGTGCTGTAGGTGAATTGAAAGCAAATATTTTTGGTAAAAAAGTGCGGTTGCAACATGATTACAAATAGTTAGCTCACCGCCAAACCGAAATAGATACGGCTTTTTATGACGTGGCATTAGAAGCAGCAGGTTTCGGGGATCATTTTCATGTATAATTTTTGCAGTTTGTATGACATGAACGCACGCTAGCGGCACTTGAATTTCAAGTACCTGACAGTCATTTTACGACATCGAAAATGTCTCGACTTCTGACAATCCTACACGAGGCCGGTTTTGACAAAACACATTAAAATCATACTTTTTCAGACACCCCAAACATTTGCCTGACTGACCATATTACGATTTATTCGATTAAGTGAACTTGAATTTTGGGCCTTTTTCGTATTTATGGCCACTCGTGAACCCCATTTGCATCACTGTGGTCTGCCAGGGGCGCCACAGACCTGCCAGGGGCACCACAGACCTGCCAGGGGCACCAGAGGTCTGCCAGGGGCACCACCGGCCTCGCAGGGGCACCTTGGACCTGTCAGGGGCACCACGGGCCTGCCGAGGGGCACTTCAGACTTTTCAGGGGCACCAGTCCTCTCCGGGCGCAGGGGTACCAGCGGCCTAGCAAGGGCACCAGAGCCCTGCCAGGGGCACCACAGGCCTAACAAGGGCACCACGGGCCTGTCAGGGGCACCTCAGGCTTGTCAGGGCCCAGGGACACCACAGTCCTTCCAAGGGCACCGCAAGCCTGTCAGGGGCACCATAGGCCTGCCAGGGGCACCACAGGCCTGCCAGGGGCACCAAAGGCCTAGCAAGGCACCACTGGCCTGTCATGGCCGGGCACCTCAGGCTTGTCAGGGCCCAGGGGCACCACAGTCCTTCCAGGGGCATTACAAGCCTGTCAGGGGCACCAGAGGCCTAGCAAGGGCACCACAGGCCTGCCAGGGGCACCACCGGCCTTGCAGGGGCGCCTTAGGCCTGTCAGGGGCACCACGTGCCTGCCGGGGACACTTCAGGCTTGTCAAGGGCGTTACAGTCCTGTCAGGGCCCAGGGGCACCAGGCCCGTGGTGTCCCTGCTAGGCCTGTGGTGCCCCTGGCGGTCCTGTGGTGCCCCTGTCAGGACTGTGATACCCCTGATAGGCCGGTGGTGCCCCTGGCAGGTCTTTGGGCCCCCGGGCCTCAAGGGGGGGGGGCATGACCCATGTGACCCCCCCCTTGGATCCGCCACTGCCTGTAATTGGGCTACAAGTGCCCGTTGGAGGGAGGCCTGAATAAAAAAAAACAAATAATCGTGCGTACCTATGATTTCTATAATAATCGTATGAGGATGGAATCTGACGTACAGTAGGTATGTGTCATTGTCTGATGAACGGTTCAAGTCGATTGAGCTTCAGGCCGTGAAGTCAGGCCTTATATCATTCAGTTCACAGCTCGGTTAACCCGCGCCCTGCTGGGGGGGGGGGGGTGTTTGAACACCCCCCCCTTGTGGTTTTTCGCGAATATCTCAAAAACGGCGGCCCTTATCGAACATCAATTCTACACATGTTGTGAAAATTTCAGACCAAGGTCATTCAAGGTCAGGTCACCAGGTCACTTGAAGTGACCTCACCTCATAAAAAGTTTTAATGTCTGTCATAGCTACACCGAGTGACCGATTGCTTTGAAACTTTCAGCGATTGCTAAGAGCAATAGCATGTACAAAATGTATATCTCAGAATTTTGATATCGATGACCTAAGGTCAGGTCAATTTTGCGACCTCCGCATTATAAGTCAATGGGAGAAAATTGAAATGCGCCTCTTTTGGACAAAAGACATTATAAACACTCCCAAACACCGAATTACAAGTGGTTTAGACACACTGAACATGAAAATGGTGTCCATGACCCTTGTTTATGCCCTGAGGTCATCTTAGGTCACGAATGGTATCTAACAGTTTTTCGCAAATAACTTTTGATAAAGGCATGCTAGAGCGATGAAAACGCCTTAGATGTGTTCAGCTCGACGATACGGATCGACTGATATGCAACATGACCCTTTCCGGTCAGGTCATGACCTTGACCTGAGGACAAATTTCCAAGTTGACCTTTCAAGGTCAACTTATAGTTCATTTGATGCGTCGTGACGAGAGGAACACAATGCCGGTAAAAGTAAGCTCGTACAAGGCTTGGGTCAAAAGTTATTGCAGAAAAACTGTTTCCGAAAAATCGGCTATTTTTGCAATTTTTGCCCCCTGCAGGCAAAACCGTTGACGTTAGGTCAAATCTGAGAGAATTACTCAGAAAGGGCTTTAATAGGGCTATCGAATGCGCTTTTCCGCGGCGCTGTAGCTCTATTGGTTCTCGAGTTATGCGTTGGCTTCTTGGAAATTTTCGACATTCGACCTGGAAATCGGCGAAATTTTGCCTTCAATGACCTCTGGTGACCTGACCTTTGACCTGACCAAAAATTGACTGAAGTGATTTTGTCATTATTTTTGACGCTCTTTCGAACGCCGCCTTCCGCGCATCGCTACGTGGCCCAGGAGCCGAGTTACAAGGGGGGGTGTTCAAACACCCCCCCCCCCAGCAGGGCGTGGAAATCCAGGACCCCCAGCCGGGCGCGGGTTAAAGGTAGTGTGCCACCTTTGAAAGATTTCCCATTTTATTTTTCCTAGGATAAGAAGCTTCTATTTTTACCTAATGTCGCAAAAAAATCAAAAATGGGCCTGGAATAGTGCCTTTTCGCCTATAAGTTTATCGGTTTTTCGATATGTATAACAACTGTAGTGGGCTGACCTGCAAACAGGCGTCGGCAACAATCGCGAATGCGGCGCACATGTGACAATAAGCAAAGGTCATTTATAGAGTTACGACGTACGGGAATGAGTTATCAGCTGTCTAATCGTAGACAACACAATGTCGAGCTTTAAACTGTAAGCCTGTATTGGTATTGTTTCTTTTATTTGTCTGTCGAACGTTATTTATGGTTTGAAATATGATTTTATGTAAAATAATTGATATGAAAAAGCAGTCTCTTAGTTATGACCCCATTTCACCACACGCAAGTGGCAGAAATGGCAATGATCAGCTGACGCATTTTTCTTGGCCGAAGTCAGAGCGCGCGGCCCGACGCACCACCACCGCACCACAAAGTATGAGCAGAAGCCGCGCCCAAAGCCAGGGCCCCGGTAACGTGAGGTAGCCGAGTCGGGGCAACGTGCGCTGACCCAAGCCGGGGCCGCAGCTTTGGGCGCGGTCTACCGCATCCCCGCGGGCAGCCCCGGGCTATCACATGACACCGGGAGGACGCGCGGCCCCGGCTTGGGTCAGCGCACGCTGCCCCGACTCGGCTACCTCACGTTACCGGGGCCCTGGCTTTGGGCGCGGTCTACCGCACCACCTAACAGGCGTGTTCGAAACCGCAGGAGATGATGATGAACGGGTTTATCGAAACTTGATTGGATGAGCATATCGGTAATAGCGATTTCAGTGTGTGCATTTATTGTTCATAGTGGTGTGAAATGTGGTTGGGGTACGACCGACAACCCGTCGGGGCGAATTTCGCACTGGGGTACTAAAAATTTGAAGAATTTAAGACATTTCCATGAGTCTTGAAGGTATGGATAAGTTCTAAAAATCCGGTTCTCCTTATCTGGGCCATTAACTCCATACGGTCCAGGAAAGCTGGCACACTACCTACCTTTAAAGGTTTAAAGCCACGCTACAGTTTTTAATATTTGCGTAACTTACTTTGAACAAACGTGCCAAAACCGCAATAAATTTTGAGTCATGGCATCTACTCATGTGTTAAAGCCAACGTGCACGGTGCAGCTGATGACTAGCGGGCATCTAAAAGATTATGAAAGGTCGCTATCAGTTTTGGACGATACCTTTTGATAGAGACTTGCTAGAGCAATCAAAATAACCGTTAGATATGCTCATTGCTCAGGCTGCTCAGCTCAGCAATACGGACCAACATATTCAAAATGACCTTTCATGGCCGGTCGTGAAATTGACATGAGGTCAATTATCCAGTTACTTTTTAAAGGTCATATTGTAGTTCATTCGACGTGTCTCCTCGAAACACGACCTTGGTACAGCGCAGGGTGTGTTTCATTAGGTGTAGGTACCCTATGAAAGTATTTTAATTTTTTAACAGAGGTATTCCACAGAGGTTCCACGACAAATCGACAAGTGCCCTGCACCCTCATATTTTATTTTTCGCTTAAAATTGGTGTAATGGGTTGTGAAGGGCGGGGAAGCCAGCTGTGGCAAGGATTTTTTTTCTTCGAACAACGGTTTCCGAGATATAGCCTCGGGCAATTCCTGTAGGTCGCGCTGCAGCCCTATGTTTGGCGGCCTATAACTCAGAAACTATTGGTTTTCTACGATAAAAACTTTATGTGGTTCAACTCACAATCAACCAACAAACATTTCAGCTATCTCCGATTTTCAATCTTTGAAAATTTTGACTTCGTGACCTTTTTACCTATTTTTCAAAGAGTGACCTTGATATTTTCCCCACTGAAAGTTAAAATTTTGTCTGATGACGATTAAAGCGTTATCAATTTTCATTCATATGCGATAATAAAAAAGTGGTTATCACCCTGCGTTGACCTCAGGTCAGGTCATTTTTATGACCTGTCCATTATTACGAGCGGGAGCGACAGCGAAATCTCGAGAACAAAGCAAGATAGCGACAAGCGGTAAACGGTACAGGGTACACACGGATTAGGTCTACAATTTTTACACAGGTCATTTTCAGGTCAGGTCAAAGAAGACGTCATAGGGGTAAAAAGGAAGTCAAAATAGTTTTGGCTGTACCTTTTGATCTAATAAAGAAAGGGACGTGGAACAGGCACCATTGTGTTTGCTTTGGCCTAGCGCCAGTTCGCTTTGAATTTCGATATCGATGACCTAAGGCCAGCTCAATTTCTTAACCATCCCATTAAAAGTCAATTGGGGAAAAATCGGCTCGCTTACTTTTAAACTAAAACACGTCGCAGTTGCCTATTATACCATGAGTGACTTCATATAGGATTAACTTTGCCTACCTTGAGACCTTTTTTGCTCTTGGGCAACTGTAAGGTCATGCGACGTCATTAAAGATCATCAAAGGTTTTTTTTTGCTAATAACTCCTTACAGGTTTGAGATACAGATGCGCGGATGGACTCATTGTGCTCAGCTCGTCAAGGCGCATCGAATGATATATATGATGACCTTAGGTCACGTGACCTAAGGTCAACTTTTGACTTTGACCTTTCGAGGTCAACATACATATGTTTCGATGCGGATCAATGAGAGGATCACGATGGTGCCATTTGTTTGTTCCGAGCTGGGATACCTTGAAAGTTATTCGAGAAAAACTTCATACCTATATTTAAAGTGCCGCTATTTTGACTTCCTTTTTGCCCCTGTGACGTCATCTTTGACCTGACCTGAAAATGACTTCAGTAAGAATTATAGATCTTATCCGTGTGTACCCTGTACCGTTTACCGCTTGTCGCTATCTTGCTTTGTTCTCGAGATCTCGCTGTCACTCCCGCTCGTAATAATGGACAGGTCATAAAAATGACCTGACCTGAGGTCAACATAGAGTGATAACCACTTGTTTATTATCGCAGATGAATGACCATTGATAAGGCTTTAATCCTCATCAGACAAAATTTTAACTTGCAGTGGGGAAAATATCAAGGTCACCCTTTGTAAAATACGTCAAAAGGTCATGTGATCACAATTTTCAAAAATTGAAAATCCGAGATAGCCAAAATGTTTGTTGGTTGATTGTGAGCTGAACCATATAAAGTTCTTATCATATAGAAAACCAATAGTTTCTGAGTTATAAGCCGCCAAACATAGGGTTGCAGCGTGACCTCCAGGAATTGCCCGAGGCTATATCTCGGAAACCGTTGTTCGAAGAAAAAATCCTTAGCACAGCTGGCTTCCCCGCCCATCGCAACCCCTTACACCAGTTTTCAACGAAGAATAAAATATGTGGGTGCAAATTTAATTTTTTATTTGTCGATTTGTCGTGGAACGCCCCAGAACGTCTGTGATTTGTCGTTTTTTGCCTTATGAACGCCAAGTTGTGAAACCTAGATCAGATATGAGGAAACATTTGCGAAAAGTTTCTATAAGACTATCGAATGTGCCCTTATCGACACTGCATAGCTCGTAACTGGTTCACAAATTTAAGTTTCGATTGATGAAAATTTACGTTATTCTGCGTTATTGTGCGATGAATTGTGGAATGCAAGCAGTGAAAAGTGTAAATTGCGACTGATACTACAGGTTGGCGTCGAAGAAACCCGACCGGTCAAGTCTGGGTGGCGTATTCAGCAGAGTATCGCTTTCGCTGTCGTAGTCTGAGAGAGGCGGGCAGAAACGACTCTTATTTGTCCGCGCCGTGCATAGTTGGTCTCTGCGCCGGTGAAAAGTGCGGTCAGTGTGTCGCGGCGCAAACCGGCAGGTCAGGTTCTGAGGCGGGTCGGCAGCTCAGAGCGGCCGTCCGACGCTCCCGGCGTCAGTTGAAGGCGACGACGGACCGAGAACGGACGGCTTCACACACCCGGCGCACATGGTTCGACCTCTGGTGAGCACATACAGAGTGGTCCGCTGTCGGACCAACCACCTACTGAAACCCGGCTACGGGGCATAGAGGATGCTAGAAAGGTATCACACCAGGGGGCACAGTTTTAGGCTATATTCGTTGGGCTCAAGCAATATTTAAACGTCAATATGACCGAAATAAGATGAATAAAATTCCGTCATTTTTCTACCGGCCATTCGTTACAAGTAGGCACGCCATCAATTATGTTTGTTCAAGCTAGGACTTTATTTGACTAATACTTTTGACGGGATCGTTCACCAACTAATGTCTCAAAGTCTAGTTACGCGTCGATAGCCTCTTCAGTTTCAAAGTCTCTTGGCGCCGGGTAATGGATCTCGTCTCCCTTCGCTATATTCAACTTTGTACTATCGTCTCTTGGCGCCGGGTAATGGATCTCGTCTCCCTTCGCTATATTCAACTTTGTACTATCGCGATATTTTCGAAATTTCGGCCATGATCTTACTCCTTCAAAAATTACACAGCCACTTCCGTCCATGCTTTTTGGTTATTTTGCAACGTACGTAAACATTTTTTCAACTAATGAAAAGCAAGTATTCTTCTCGTAAGTATGGATCTGAGCGTTTCACATAAAACGTTTAATTTTAACGCCGTGTCGCCCGTTGTTGAGCCAGAGCTTTGTACGTAAACGAGTGTGTTGGCCGCCCCGAGGCGCAGCAAATGGTTCTCAATCAAAGTTTCAAATTAATCGGTGACCTATGCTGTCAAGTCAGTGACCCAAAGGTTGAGGTCCGATTTTTGTACATAACATCGGGCGAAAATAGCCACAGAGCAACAGTTTTAGTATGCACAACGCATTTTAATGCTTACCGAACAGTCTCCGCTAGAAAACGTCCGGCGCAAAATAATCAGTTCCCTTGTTTTCAATATTGACTTAGGCATATATAACAGGAGACGTATGTAACCGACTCAAACTCAGATATGACTGGTAACCGCTATGATTAAGATGGGGATGCCTACTCGTACACGTAGGCATTGTAAGGAGTCTGGAGCTTGTTACTTATTGCAAATTTCACCGCTTAGCGAACACTGTAAAAAAATCTTACAAGCCCCTTGTAGGAAAACCGCTGGCGCAAAAATGAGCATGCAGCGACGTGTAAAAATCGCCTCATATTTAGCTAGTAAGAGGGTACAAGCTTGTTTCGTTAGTAACTGACAAGCCCACGCCTCATAAACCGAGCACCCCCGTGTCAGCCCCTCGTTTCGTTATTCGGTACCTCGTTTGAAAACGAGGGCAAAACCAGCAGATCGGTACGCCGATCAGGCTCCTTAGCAGGACTCGCCTGGTAACCCAACCAGCTAGCGCCTGCTATTGCTGCCCAGTAGTAATACTAGCTCAATTGCGTCACCCATAGGCGTCGCCAGAGATTTTCGGTTGGGGGGGCAAAATCAACTTTTGTGTTAAATCTTGCCTTTCCCCAGTCGTTACTCACTCGTTTTACATATCATTCGACGCGCAATGGTGCGAGGAATCCGATGGTGACACAGGTTTCCTTCTAGCTATGACATGTATTTTTTTTTTAAACAAAAAAATCGAAATTTTGAAATTTCATGACAAAAACGACTGGTAGAATTATAGTATATAGTGGCTGCGATTTCCGACGCTTTGCAGAGGGCCCCTGTGCAGACGCTCGACGCTCATGATCATTACCCAGAAAAAGGTGAAAAACGCTCCATTTAATCGAATCACCCTGCTAAAACCTCTATTCACGCATGCATGCAGAGGTTTTACGTGAAATGCATAGGACTTATCCCAGCCGCCGATCGTAGCTAAGTTGGGCATTCAGCGGAGAGTGAGTGTCGGAAGTGTGAATCGGAAGTAATTCATCTTTGCTCCAGTGAGAGGAAGTGTTTTGTTCACTCGAGCATAGGCGTAGGAACAGGGGGGGCCAGGTGGGCAAGTGCCCACCCACTTTTCGAGGTGGGGGGGGCCAACCATGTGTTTTGGCCCACCCACTTTTTAATCGAGGCCCCTCGTCTTGATTTGAGAGGACGTCGTCACCTTCCAGAATAAACAAACTCGGTAAAAATAAGTTCCACAAATCCCCAAGTACGGACTCTTAAGGGGCCGTGATGGATCCAAGGAGGCCCTCTGTTCATACTTGTCAGTCGAAGCCCCTGAGACTGATGGCCTGAGAGGCCCTAGTGGAGCTGAGGAGGCCCCTGACACTGGTGGTCTGGGAGGCCCCTCTATCCACACTAGTCAGGGGTCTGAGACTGGTGGTCTGGGAAGTGGGAGGCCCCTCCATCCACACTAGTCAGAATAGGCCTCTGACACTAGCGGTCTAGCCGAGGCCCCCTACCCTCACTAGTCTATCCTCAGGCCCCCTAGAGGCCCCCTACCCTCACTAGTCTATCCTCAATAGTCAGAAGAGGCCCCTGAGACTGATGGTCTGGGAGGCCTATCCATCTACACTGTAGTCAGAGGAGGCCCCTGAGACTGATGACCTGAGAGGCCCTTATAATCACACCAGGCAGAAGAGGCCCATGAGACTGATGGACTGAGAGGCCCTTCTATTCATACTGGCCACAGGAGACCCCCAAAACTTTCGGTCTGGGAGGTCCCTCAATCTGGCACCAGTCAGAAGAGTCCCCTGAGACTGATGGCCTGGGAAGCCCTTATATTCACACTAGGCAGAGGAGGCCCCTGAGACTGATGGTATGAGAGGCCCTCATATTCACACCAGTCAGAAGAGGCCCCCGAGGCTGAGGCTCATATAACTGGCCACTGGAGGCCCCTGAAACCGGTGGTCTGGGAGGGCCCTCTACCCACACTAGTCAGAAGAGGCCCCTGAGACCGATGGTCTGAGAGCAGACTTGTGATCAGCTCAGTTGAGCCGGCTCAAAAATCAGCTCAGCTCATGAGCTGGCTCAACATTTTGCCAAAATGTTGAGCTGTGAGCTGAGCCGGCTCAGTAATGCATTGAGCTGAGCTGCTGTCTGAGCTGAGCTGAATGAGCTTGAGCTGAGCTGAGCTGAGCTGAGCTGATTGAGCTGAGCTGAGCTGATTGAGCTGAGCTGAGCTGAGCTGTGCTGATTGAGCTGAGCTGAGCTGAGCTGAGCTGAGCGAGCTGAGCTGAGCGGAGCTGAGCTGAGCGAGCTGAGCTGAGCTGAGCGGAGCTGAGCTGAGCGAGCTGAGCTGAGCTGATTGAGCTGAGCTGATTTAGCTGAGCTGAGCTGAGATCCAGTTCTAGTAGGTACACTGGAAGATGATGAGAACGGATAAAAATATAAAACCGAATGCAATGTGCATTGAATATTGATACACTATAAACACTAGAAACATGATAAACTGGAAATAATATTATATACAAACCAAAGACGTCACTAGGTGAAAGGCCATGTAGTTCGACACCGCAAACTGAAGCGATCGGTCGGGAAATCGCTACATTCCTCTATTGCACCCCGTTCGCACCGTTGTAAGCCGTTCGGTTGGTAGGTATCCTTATCCACTGCGGCGTGATGTCCCGACCTGTGTCCCGATGATTCGATGTCCATGACCAATCAGCACACGCATTGCCGTGACGTCATTGGCCGGACCTCGACACGTTACGGAGATATGGGTGGCATTCGGCATTCGGCAATGGGTGGCATTGAATTTAACTGAGCGGAAACTGAGCTGAGCTGAATTGAGCGGAAACTGAGCTGAGCTGAACGGGAACTGAGTTGAGCTGAGCTTAGCTGAGCGGAAACTGAGCTGAGCTGAACTGAGCTGAGCGGAAACTGAGCTGAGCTGAGCGCAAACTGAGCTGAGCGGAAACTGAACTGAGCTGAGCGGAAACTGAGCTGAGTGGAAACTGAGCTGAGCTGAGCTGAAACTGAGCTGAGCTGAGCTGAGCGGAAACTGAGCTGAGCTGAGCTGAGCGTGAGCGGAGCGCAGCCGGTTTGAGCAGAACGTGAGCTGAGCTGAGCCACGTTAAACTGAGCGGGAGCTGAGCGGGAGCGGATAAGATGGAGTTGAGCTGAGCGAGCTCACTTTTTTCTTGAGCTGTCACAAGTCTGTCTGAGAGGCTCTTATATTCATACTGGCCACAAGAGGCCCCTGAGACTGATAGTCAGAGAGGTCCACTCCTAATGAATCTGAGGGGGCCCTCTATCCACATTTACACTTTTCTAGGGAGGCCCCTGATGGTCTGAGAGGCCCTTTTATTTGTACTGTCCACAGGAGCCCCCTGAGATTAATGGTCTGAGAGGCTCTTCTATTTATACTAACCAGAGGAGGCCCCTAGGATTGATGGTCTAACAGGCCCTTCTATTTATGCTAGCCAGAGGAGGCCCATGAGACTGATGGTCTGAGAGGCCCTTCTATTCAAACTAGGCAGATGAGGCCCCTGAGAATGATAGCCCGAAGAGCCATGCGGCGGCAACTGGCCGTGGCCATATTTCGGCTCGATAGGGCCCCACAGAGCTCATGAGAGCACCTCAAGGGCTCCTAAGTAGACACGCTTATCCCCATAAGGGTGCCACGCCGGCTTCTGAAGGCTCCTTGCAAGCATCTAAGGGCCCTTTCCGGCCTCTAACGGCTCAACCCGCTTGTGATGGCTCCACACCAGTGTTCATGAGCGCCACACAGCGGCGCCTTTGAGGGTCATACTAGTGTCTCTTAGGGCCCTATATCGGTGGCTCTGGGGGCCCCACACCGGCGCCTCTGTGGGCCACCACACCTGTGCATCTCAAGGCTCTATAGGTACATCTGAAGGACCCACACCGACACCTCTGAGGGCCCCACACCAGTATCTCGGAGCTCTGAAGGCCCCACACCGGTGACTCTGAGGACTCACCGGCTCCTGAGAGCACCATGTTGATGTCTAACGGCTCCACAAGGCCACTGAAGGCACCACACAAGCTCTCACTGAGCTCTTATGTCCATGTACCGGCCTCTGAGGGATTTATGTCAGCGTATGCATAGCTCCACACCAGCAATTGTAAGGGCTTCACACTGAAGTATCTGAGGGTTCCACACC